GCGTTCACACGTGTTCATATTGAACCGCACTAATAGAACAATCGCACCAGAGTTCGTTTTAATCAAACCAAACCTGCCATAAGTGAACACCTTTAGGTTTAATAAGTAATTTTGAGGGAGCAAATGACTCAATTTGCATTGGCACCACCTTGTGTTTTGCGTGTGAATGAGGAGCTCATTCAAAATACAGATTCATCCAACAAAAAATCCAAGATTCAACCACAAAAAAGAAGACAGGACACACTGTTTTGCGCACATGAAACCCACAATCCTTTTATATAGACAAGCCTTTAGTACATCAGGGCTATAGACTTTTACACAGAACATTTCTGATCCATCATGAGGCTACCATTAACTCTTAAATCAATTCACGAGTTCACACATACATGAAATCAAATGTAATATTAATGCGTATTTGGCTTGTTGTCCGGGGGAGGGCTCCGAGCTCGAACCCAGAGTAGTCCCCCTATACTGGGGTAAACCCAGCCGAGTGTGAGGTGATGGGGTGGTGGAGGGATGCTGAGAGACTTGTCGTGAGACAGGAGGTGAGGAAAAGCTTTATTTATACCGGCTTCCTCTTGAGTTGATTGGTTGATTACCTGAACATGCTCCTCCCGAACTTTGTTACATACAACTTCATTTAGTCTCTGCAAGAAAATGTGTATCTTCATTGTATTAAAAGCTGAGCTAAAATCAATAAATAGAATTCTAGTTTAATGTGCTCTGCAGTCTGCTGAATATATTCAGCATTTCTGTCTAACCCTAAATGTGAACAAAAGTAATAGGGATCCTTGCCTTAGCAAACACTAAACTACATCAGTATATATGACTGAAACACTGACTGTTGATTCACTGAGAGGGTGATTCTCTCTCTCTCTGTGTGTGTGTGTGTGTGTGTGTGTGTGTGTGTGTGTGTGTGTGTGTGTGTGTGTGTGTGTGTGTGTGTGTGTTCATACCTGCTGCAGTCTCATTACCCAGCATCCTTCTGCTCTCCGGCTGCCACCTGCAAAGCACTCTGGTATGAATCTCAGACAGGAGGCTGTAGCTCTGCTTGTTAGTTTTCTCTTTCCTGAGGGGAGAGGAACGTGTCGACCGGTCTCATTATTCTCTGATGCCTGTGGTGTTAACCAACACGTGTGCATGTTATTTGCTGCTATATCTGATGCATTGTTCATCTGTCATAAACTTTTTCCTTTTGATTCAGCTGAAGTCCCACATCTGAGGAGTTTTATAATGTTCCTGAGACATGGGTAGATGTGACACAAACGCAGCATATGTGTTGTTAATGCTTTTTAGGTATTAGACTGGCTTTTTCTCTCTCTTTCAAGCTAATCACGGCCATGAGCTTCATCTTGGGCCAGGCGTACATAATGCTGTTCAGATGTTGTGAGCCTCCACACAAACAATCACAACATCTGCGCTATTCGAATCTTGCACAATTATTTTGCACAGTTAACTGTCTATGCCATTTTGACATTAAAGAGAACCTATTATGCCCTTTTCCAAACTCTTGATGTTGTTTTCAGGCTCTACTAGAACAGGTTTTCCTGCTTGAATGTTGATTATTTCCTCATATTCTCCATTGTTGCGGCTCCTCTCTTCCCAGTCTGTCAGTAACGCTCTGTTTACTTCCTGTCTCTATGAAGCCCCTCCTTCTGAAAAGCACACTGTGCTCTGATTGGTCGGCTGGATCAGTGTGTTGTGATTGGTCGAGCGCTTCGAGTGTGTTTGGGAAATGTCCCGCCCCTTTAATCTGCGTATGAATTATTATAATGAGGAATATTGTGACGTGTTTATTCCCGGAAGAAACTCAAGATACAATGGAGGCGTTTCAGGAGTTCAGAAACACTGATATAGAGGAGAACTGGAGCTTTCTCTTGATCTAACAGCAAAAAGCAGAATAGAACTCATTTAAGTTAAGAAATTTATTTAATTTGATATGTAGCCTGCTGAAATGGCGCCAAATCATTTTAGTTCACTTTCAGATCAACTGCACTTTAGACATAATCAATACAATATGCCATTACTGACACCATCTCATCACTCATTCATAACGTCTGAAGTTGATATTGAGCAAAATACAGAGTCAAAAGATGTGGCCACATTTACCATGGCTTGTTGGAATTTAGTGGTGAACCTTTTTTGCCATCCAAATTTGGCAAAATGATGATCATTTCTTTTACCAGGCATTTCAATTTGAAAATACCATTTATATAAAAAAGTGCATGTAGTGCATAAGTGCAGTACAATGTGGTATAGACATTAACATTAAAATGTTTAATATTTTTGGTCTCAATCAATTATTACACCCAAAGTTCCTATTCCTCTACTATATTGCAGTATAGTATAATACAGTGGTTCACAACTTTGTGCGCAGTTGATAACAACTGGTATAATAGATTACCCTGCCTCATTGTTTGGCGTATTTAATGTTTTATTATTTTGTTTATTTCGAGGAAAAGCCTTTTATGGGTAGTGATGTAACTGTTAAATACATAACTGTTACACACACACACACACACACACACACATATATAAAATCAGTCTGTCTGATCACAATATCTGATTATTTTCTCGGTTGCAGATAAATGAAAAGTAAAATATTAGTTGGGGTTTTAATACTTAATTATTCAAACATCCTGACCTGTACATTTGATTAATAAACAATAAAGATGCAACTTCCAATGGAATAATCTGGCACTGTAAATGAAGACATTTGTGAATTTAAAATTGTATATATACACTCACCGGCCACTTTATTAGGTACCCCATGCTAGTAACGGGTTGGACCCCCTTTTGCCTTCAGAACTGCCTCAATTCTTCGTGGCATAGATTCAACAAGGTGCTGGAAGCATTCCTCAGGGAGTTTGGTCCATATTGACATGATGGCATCACACAGTTGCCGCAGATTTGTCGGCTGCACATCCATGATGCGAATCTCCCGTTCCACCACATCCCAAAGATGCTCTATTGGGTTGAGATCTGGTGACTGTGGAGGCCATTTTAGTACAGTGAACTCATTGTCATGTTCAAGAAACCAATTTGAAATGATTAGAGCTTTGTGACATGGTGGAAGTAGCCATCAGAGGATGGGTACATGGTGGCCATAAAGGGATGGACATGGTCAGAAACAATGCTCAGGTAGGCCGTGGCATTTAAACGATGCCCAATTGGCACTAAGGGGCCTAAAGTGTGCCAGGAAAACATCCCCCACACCATTACACCACCACCACCAGCCTGCACAGTGGTAACAAGGCATGATGGTTCCATGTTCTCATTCTGTTTACGCCAAATTCTGACTCTAACATCTGAATGTCTCAACAGAAATCGAGACTCATCAGACATGGCAACATTTTTCCAGTCTTCAACTGTTCAATTTTGGTGAGCTCTTGCAAATTGTAGCCTCTTTTTCCTATTTGTAGTGGAGATGAGTGGTACCCGGTGGAGTCTTCTGCTGTTGTAGCCCATCCGCCTCAAGGTTGTGCGTGTTGTGGCTTCACAAATGCTTTGCTGCATACCTCGGTTGTAACGAGTGGTTATTTCAGTCACTGTTGCCCTTCTATCAGCTCGAACCAGTCTGGCCATTCTCCTCTGACCTCTGGCATCAACAAGGCATTTCCGCCCACAGAACTGCCGCTCACTGGATGTTTTTTCTTTTTCGGACCATTCTCTGTAAACCCTAGAGATAGTTGTGCGTGAAAATCCCAGTAGATTAGCAGTTTCTGAAATACTCAGACCAGCCCTTCTGGCACCAACAATCATGCCACGTTCAAAGTCACTCAAATCAACTTTCTTCCCCATACTGATGCTCGGTTTGAACTGCAGGAGATTGTCTTGACCATGTCTACATGCCTAAATGCACTGAGTTGCCGCCATGTGATTGGCTGCTTAGAAATTAAGTGTTAACGAGCAGTTGGACAGGTGTACCTAATAAAGTGGCCGGTGAGTGTATATATTGTCACAATCTCACTCAGTTCAACCTTCCTGTTTGTTTCCCAGTTCCAAGTATTCCCTTGGCTCTGCGCACCTGATGCAAAAGGGTTTTTTGTCTACTTGGAGCGCAACAATTTATTCTAGTATACATTTACTTAAGTACATTTTTGTAAAAAAAATACTTTTAAGAGTACATTTAAAGGTGAGTAATTTCAGTCTTACTCAGGTACCTTTCTAATGATAAAAATATACTTGAATGAATGAATGAATGAATGAAGCATTTATATAGTGCTTTCATATGTTATAAATGTAAAAATATACTTACTATAATTTCTTAGTTACATTAGGTGACATTCCTGTCGCTACTTTATTCTTAATGCAAATGCACAGTCTCCTTTGGATGGAGCGAATGGATCACCCTATTGAGTCGATTCTTTTCAAAGATCAAACATTTGGCAAAACGCATGCGAGGACATAATCCGGACAAAACATCCCTACTGTAATACATGCTTCATTGACTCTGAGTCAGATCCGAAGTAACTAGTAACTTGCTACTTCAATAGTCTTTTCATTGGATACCTTGTCACTCTTACTCAAATAATCATTAACATTATCACTTTTGCTTCTACTTGCATTATTCTTCTACATTACATTATTTCTATAAGCACTTGTACTTTTACTCAAGTATATTTTTGGGTTAGTTGTCCCACCTCTGGTGATCTGTAGACATCTACCAGTCAGAGGAAAGGACCAGATGGATTCTCAGCCAAGTTTTATAAAAATCTTCTGTAGAGAATTGTCTAAACCATATTTCAGCGATACATATTTTTATTGTTTTATTTTATGCACACTTTTTTTTTACAAAAAATGTTATTGAAAAATATCAATCCATTATTGGTTTATGTAGGAGCACCACAAATGTTCAAACAGCATTACAACAGAATGGCAAACAAATTCCCGCTGTGGTTGATTTATGTAATCAAGATATGTTTTAGATTGAAATACATGTTTTCTTTGCACATCAGTGTATATTCCTAGAGACTAAATAAAGGCTATGTCTCCCTCAGGCATTATACGGACAGCCCTGCCCAACATGGACCGAGAGACGCGTGACCAGTACGTGCTGATCATTCAGGCCAAGGACATGGTGGGTCAGATGGGAGGACTGTCCGGCAGCACCTCTGTGACGGTCACGCTCACCGACGTCAATGATAACCCTCCGCGCTTCTCTCACAGTAAGAGCAGAACATGTCTGACCTCTGATAGCTGAGGACATCTGCTGGTTGGGGAAAGGGAATATGATCTAATTTTCCTCATAAAAAGAAACACAGTTGCTCCACTTTAGCATGTGGTTTTTCAGTGTGAAACATATATTCATGCACAATACACAGTCTTAACCAGGTACCAAATGCCCTTTACATTTCAAACTCCTATAAATCAATATATATATATACTGTATATATATATATGAAAATGATGAGCTGGTCGTCAAGCTACAGCAGATCTAGTGCTTTGGAAAAGTGCTTTGTGTTGGAAAAGTCTAGTGCTTTGTGTTTATACTGAAAGCGAGTTGTGTGATGCAACAAGTCAAGTCACCTTCCTTTACTGTATATAGCGCTTTTTTACAAAACAGATTGTTTTAAAGCAGCTTTACAGAGATAATAGGAAATGAATGCAACAGATATTGTTTTGGCTGTACAGCAGCTCTAGAAGAAAGTCATTGTCTAGCGTGAGTAAGGTTTTTAATAGATTCATTTTCTTTGTAAGAATCATTAGCTATTAACTTAGGGCTGCTTACACAACACCATTTTCAACTGAAAACAGAAATCTTTTAATGCGTTCTGGTCGTTCATTTACACGACAAAAGCGTTTTGGTGGCCTGAAAACACAAACTTAGGATTCAAAGTGCAAGTTTTTGAAAATGGGTTTTGAAAGCGATACCGTTATCATCTTCGTGTAAACTTAAAAACCGTGTTTCTGTGAAACAGTGACGGCATGAACATGCGAATTACGTGTTTAGTCTATAGGCATGAGCGTTAGAATGCATATGTGCGCAGTCTTTCTTTACAAAGTGACATTGCCAATTACTTGTCTGGCAGCATTATACCGCGTTTTTAGTCGTTTATAAGAATGCGTGTGAACGGGAAACATTTTGATAACGTTTTCATCTGTACAGCGTATGTGGTGTGTCGTGTGGATGAGACCTTCACAGGGGAGAGTCTAGTTCACACAACCTCTGCTGACACTTGTGGTCGTGTCAAAGGTCTTCCATCTGATCTTGGCTACGGCCCGGAGTACGGTCAACTTTGGGATAAAGAGAGAGACTAATTTTTAGTCTTGATGCCATTCTTCTTATGATGTATTGAGTGCATCGGGTGTTAAAGGAAGGTTCCTGCTGACCTAATTTATGCAGCCTTCCCCAATTTGTCATTGAAAGCACATGTCGTAATTTTGATATATTTCTAAGATGGAAGAATGTGGTTTTACAGATGCTAGAAACGTGGCTTACAAATGAAAGATTGGTATCAAAGAGCACACACACACACACACACACACACACACACACACACACACACACACACACACACACAGGTTCCTAACCGACGACAAAGATTTGACAGAACATCCATCAAGTGTTAGACAGTATTCTAGGTTATTACGTGCAGAGGTTTTTGGTCCAATCTTTTGGAAGTCTGTTTTTTTTTTTAATTAAGTAGGATATTACTAGTCATCTAATTTTTTATAATTGATGTAAATATAAATATAATATAAATATAAATTGTCATCTATGCATTCCGTAAATTTTGTGAGTTGGTAAGTTTCGTCGGGGCGTGAAGAAATATAGAGCTGAGTATCATCGGCATAACAGTGAAGGCTAATGCCATGCTTCCTAATGATATCTCCTAAGGGTAGCATGTACAGTGTGTGTGTGCGTGTGTGCGTGTGTGTGTGTGTGTGTGTGTGTGTGTGTGTGTGTGTGTGTGTGTGTGAGGGTAGCATGTACAGAGTGAATCCTCGCAGATTCCATTTCTTTCTAAAAAAGGAACATAGTTGTGAGGATTCTGCCTTTTCTAATATTTTTGACAGAAAGGGAAGTTTCGAGATCAGTACTAATTCTGTAGGATCAAGGCAACAATAGGATAAGCTCTTATAATAAAAAAAGCTGTCTAAATTGCAAGCATGTCATTGTGGAGTCTAGTTCATCTTTTTGAAAAGTAATTAGACACGCATTAACAGAATTTACGCTTTAAATGTGTTCCTAGTAAAAAATATTAATTTTCTATGCATTAACCAAATAACAAAGTAGCAATTGAAATTAAGTCAGTAATTGTACATACAATTGCTTTGTAGCACGGTACTCCAAACACTGGTCATTTATCATTATTTTCTGGGAAGACACTCCTTTGTTTGTCGTAAAAGCCAGATTAATAAGCATCAGTTAAAATGTACTTTTCCCACCCACCATGAGAGCATTAATTAAGCTGTGCTCAAGCGTTCAGTGCAGTCAAGCTCATGCAATAGAGCAACTGAGGCGCTTCGGTTGCATAGGGTCTAACAAGTGTTCCAGATCAGGTCATGATGGTCCAGTTCTTACTCTACCGAATCACACAACCGCCCTGCAAGCTGGGAAATGGCCTTGTGCGCATTGGGAGTTCGAGGCCATCTTTGGGTTGTTACCTGATTTGTATAATTTGTTTAGTAAATTGGATGCTGAAACACAAATAAATGTTTAATAATTTAATAAAAAATTGTGACACTAACAATTAAAAATTGTGCTTTTACTTGATTGTGATACTAATTCAAGTAAAAGCAACAACTATTTTGATCAAATCTTTGTGATATTTCAGATCAGTTTTTGTTTGCTAGTGTTTGTTGCATGTTCAGCTACTCGAATGCCTCATTGACTCCTACACTGATTGTTCTACACATTAGCTAATGTTTTGTTGGGTTGGTGAGGAATGTCTGAACTGATAACTCTGTGCTGTCTGTGATCTTTTTAAATGGCTGTTAGTAGGCGTCTTTAAACTCTCGTCAATTTAGCTAGAATTAAAATGCAGGAGACTGACCAATGTTACCACACATGTCTGTGTGGATTAAACCTTTTGTGATGGGAAGAGAGAGTGTCAACGGAAGCTGACCTTTACTGCTCCCGAATCAATAGATCATTGGTGACTTCCTAAGACAGCAGTAAGTCAAACAAACTGAACTGGCCAGGTTAGATCTGACCTGTTGAAGAGACTCAGAGTCTGTCTCTCCAGGACATGTGCTACTCTCTTTTTTAGGAAATTGGCTCATAACCAGGGCCTAATTTACCTCATATTGTGACATAGAATAAATTGATTTAAAAAAAAAAAAAATTCTTTGGGCTCCCTAAGCCACACACCACATTGAAGACAGTATTAGCTGTGACTCGACGACAAATGCTAGACTAAGAAACTCTTCTCCGCTCCTTAAATACATAAAATATCAGCCATATAGTATTTCTTCAGTAAAGAAAACGCTGTACTTATTCAATAAACCAGTTCTTCTTTATTTACCTTTGCATTGCAAACAAGCAGAGACGCTCCAAAATGTGTGCGGCACTTCATTCACAATACACGCAACTTCAGAGCTCATCAATAGAAAGGCTAACATGTTAAACCTAGAAATAACTTCCTCTACGAAGAAAATGAGTCTAACCAGGCCAGACAGAAGTCAAACAAACTTAGAATAAGAAGAGCAATGTTTGTGAGACAATGTGAAAAAGAGAGGTCTGAGAAAAAAAGAGGAATGTGAATTAAAAACAAAAGGATAGGTAGATGGTGTCACACGACGAAGGCAGATTAACATTATAGACCAGGTTTAATCCACAGACAGGAGATAGACAGTAACAGCATCTATCATACACAAACAATAACCAACAAGGGAGTATAAATACACAAAGCAAATAAGCAGAGATGCTCACAAGTCTCTGAGCTAGAGTCCAAGTCAAGTCTCAAGTCTCTGAGCTAGAGTCCAAGTCAAGTCTCAAGTCTTTGAGCTAGAGTCCAAGTCAAGTCTCAAGTCTCTTGTGGTTATAAGCGTTGCATCACGTACAGCGACCCATCCAGGTTGCTTAGAACACTGCATAACTTTATATAAGGAATTCAAAGCATGTAATATGTTAGGTTACACTTTATTTCGATAGTCCACTTTAGACATTCTACTAACCATGTACATTTTCAACTACATGTCAACTAACTCTCATTAGAGTATTCGTTGACTGTAGTAGACTGTCAGGTTATGATGTGGGTTTGGAGAACAAGTTGACTTGTAGTTGCCAAGTTACTTATAGTCAGTAGAATATCTGTTGGGGAACCAACAAAATAAGATATTATAATACATAATTAGCAGATACTAAGCCTACTAATACTCTAATGAGAGTTAGTTGACATGCAGCTGCAAAGTTACTTATAGTTAGTCGAATGTATAAAGTGGACTATCAAAATAAAGTGGTACCATATGTTATTATGACTCCTTTATCTATTAGTATACAGTATCAGCTTTGATTTTGGTATATAATCAGTGTAAACAGGCTATTGCAACATGACAAAAACACCAAGAATGCTTTACTTTTAGTTAATTTCTTTATTTTGCCTTGTAGCTTGAACATACCAAGACATAAGACCAAATATAGAAAATGATATAACTCACAACACTAAAACTGACACACTCCTATTTAGTGCAAAACATCAGTGTAGCTAAATGCAAATAAACTATTGCGTCCAAATGAAATTAACACTACAGTGCACTTCCAAAACATTCAAATGCTCAAAATCTTTAGTGTAAATGTGAAGCAACTGACCAACTTATGGCATGTAACTTGTTAAGAACAAAATGTTTAGAAATAAAAAAAATCCAAAGGGTGAGATCAGACTGGTTAACCTTCTCTTCTCTTAACACACTAGGTATGGGCCACAAAACATTTCTGGCTTCTTCTGGCTGCACTGCCTATGCAACTAATCATAGCTTATATACTGTAAGTCAACACATCCCAGACTCTCAAACCAGTGTAACGTTATAACTAAATGAAACTGTAACGTTACATAAACAACAATAATCCTGTAACCTGTTTGTAGACAACGGGCAGCCAGCGGCACGTAAATGATTAACATTACGTTAACTTAATCGACCACCACAAGTTTGGCAATTAAACAAACGCTCATTCATATTTCATAAGGAAGACAATCGGAGTTAACCTCCCGTAACGTTAGGTAGCTAAAGCAATAAGCAAGCTAACGGTAACGTTAGATGGTCAATGGTGAGCTAAACATGTTTACTCACCTATCAGGGTGCGTTTTCAGACGCCTGATAAAATTAGATGTAGTTGAGCCAGAATCTTTTATCGTGATACTGCATATTTTGCATTGAGCGCTTCTTTTTAGCGCGTCTTGTTTGAAGTTTTTGAACCCAAAGCTAACGATGAATGGCACAGCAGCGGCCGTTGCAGTCGAACTTTTTTGTTTGTTATCCTCTCATGTGTGGTCGCGCGCGCGCTGCCAGCAATAGGCCACGTAGTACGTGGTTACGTAGGCAGGTTATAGGTAACGGAGGGAGGGGGGTAACAGCGAGCTAATCAGACGTTTCCTAAAAATAAACATTGTTCACGAGTCCCGCAGCTCGAGTCCGAGTCGAGTCTGAAGTCTTTCGAGGACGAGTCTCAAGTCGAGTCTGAAGTCACTGTGTGTGGGACTTAAGTCGCACTCGAGTCCGAGTCTCAAACTCGAGTCCCCATCTCTGCAAATAAGGTCACTAAACAGGAACAGCTGACAAGACCTAACTAATTAGAAACCATAGTGACTAACGATAACTAACTGAACATCCATGTGACGGATGGAGGGATAAGCAATCACAGGGAGGAAAAGAGGAGTGAAGGTTTGACAAGGTTTGGTTTGCTAGAAGCTTCTATTCCATGGCAAATTAAAAAGTCATTACAGAGATTTACACGCCAGTTCTCCATGAGGGAGACATGATAATACAGACACAGAGACATCTAATGACGCTCATCATTTCATGAGTCTCAACATCAGCATTCCATAATAGATCTGAGGGAAACCTGAGATTGTGTGATTAAACTGACCTGCAGATATTCTTGCCCTTATTGAAAATTCAAATAAAAAAAGGCATTAGATGTGCTACTGAAAAGAGAAAAACTGGTTGGTAAAACTTAACAGATATTCCTCTGGATATGTCAGCAAGGCAAGGCAAGGCAAGTTTATTTATATAGCACATTTCATACACAATGGTAATTCAAAGTGCTTTACATAGGAGAAAATAAAATAATCAAAACAAATAAGAATAATTAAAACAGTTTAGAATAAAGAATAAAATAAAGTACAGTAAAAACAGTCAGACGAACAGTGGCACAGTGCTCATTCAGTAAATGCACAGCTAAACAGATGTGTTTTGAGTCTGGATTTGAATGTGACTACTGTAGGAGCACATCTGATCTCCTCTGGAAGCTGGTTCCAGCTGCGGCTGGCATAATAGCTAAAAGCAGACTCTCCATGCTTAGAGTGAACCCTTGGTATTTCTAGCTGATGTGATCCTAATGATCTGAGTGATCTGTTTGGTTTATATTCAGTGAGCATATCTGCAATATATTGAGGTCCTAGGCCATTGAATGATTTATATACCAGTAATAATACTTTAAAGTCAATCCTAAATGTAACTGGGAGCCAGTGTAAAGACCTGAGGACTTCTGTGATATGTTCATATTTTCTGGTCCTGCTCAGGATCCTGGCAGCAGCGTTCTGTATGAGCTGCAACTGTCTTATGGTCTTTTTAGGAAGGCCAGTGAGGAGTCCATTACAATAATCCACCCTGCTGGTGATGAAAGCATGCACAAGTTTCTCTAAGTCTTGACTGGAAACAAAGCATCTAATTCTTGCAATATTTTTCAGATGATAGTATGCTGATTTAGTTATTGCTTTGACATGACTACTGAAACTAAGGTCTGACTCTAGAGACACACCAAGATTCCTGACTTGATTTTTAGTTGTTAGACCCCTAGCGTCAAGGTATGCATTCACCTTGAGAACTTCATCTTTGTTTCCAAACGCAATGACTTCAGTTTTGTCTTTGTTTAACTGAAGAAAGTTTTGGCACATCCAACCATTTACTTCATCAATGCATTGGCACAGGGAGTCAATGGGGCTGTAGTCGTTAGGTGATAGGGCTAAGTAGAGCTGTGTGTCGTCTGCATAGCTGTGGTAAGAGATTCGGTTCTTTCTCATTATTTGGCTCATTGGGAGCATATACAGGTTGAATAGGAGTGGTGCAAGAATTGAGCCTTGAGGGACTCCGCAAGTCATGGATGTCCACTCAGACTTATGGTCTCCTATACTCACATAATAACCTCTCCCTTCTAAGTATGACCTGAACCATTTTAGGACTGTCCCAGAAAGCCCCACCCAGTTTTCCAGCCTGTCAAGAAGTATGTTGTGATCGACAGTGTCAAATGCAGCACTGAGGTCGAGTAGTACCAGCACTGATAATTTGTCTGTATCAGTATTTAAGCGAATATCGTTTATTATCTTTATGAGAGCTGTCTCTGTGCTGTGATGCGATCGGAAACCAGATTGAAAATTGTCAAAGTATCCATTCAAGCTTAGGAATTTGTTCAGCTGATTGAAGACAACTTTTTCAATGATCTTGCCTATGAAAGGAAGATTTGAGATCGGTCTATAGTTGCTTAAGATGGTCCTATCCAGATTGCTCTTTTTCAGGAGGGGCTTGACAACTGCAGTTTTCAGGGAGTTTGGAAAACTACCAGAGAGAAGTGAGGCATTTACCACTTCTAGGAGATCTGCTTCTAAACTGTTTAACACACTTTTGAAAAAAGATGTGGGAAGTGTGTCAAGGGCGCAGGTTGATGTTTTAAGGTGCTGTACGGTTTCTTCCAAAATTTTGTCATCAATTTCTTCGAAAACAGACATAGTAACTACTTTCTCAGGTAGTGGTCTGATCTGTTTGACCCCAGCGCAACTCAATGATGAGCTGATCACCTTTCTGATATTATTGATTTTCTCAGAGAAGAAAGAAGCAAACTCACTGCACTTGCTGTCTGAGAGCATTTCACTGGGAATCTGGCTTGGGGGTTTGTCAGTCTCTCTATAGTAGCAAAAAGAGTGCGTGTGTTGTTTAAGTTGCTGTTTATAATATTCGAGAAGAAAGTCTGTCTAGCTTTGCCTAGTTCCATATTAAAAGCATGGATGCTGTCTTTGTAGATGTTATAATGGACTACAAGTTTTGTCTTCCGCCACATGCGCTCTATATAATGCGCTCCGCCACATTATATACCTCTATTAAGCTAAAGTAATGGAGGTATAAAATAATGGCATTTTTGTCCCTATATATTGTTGTTTTTTAGCCTTCTTCATTTTGGGTCAGGCTCACGAAAACAGACACATTTCACCCTAAAACAAAAAGAAAAAAATAAGAAATCATATTTTGGATGAAGAAAATCATGCCTATTAGGATTAAACATTTTCTCATTTTATTCCTAAATTCTCATTTCTGTATCTATATTCCCGTGTTGCAGGAGCTTGCGTGTAGTAATGCTATAGTTTTGTTGTTTGCTTCACTATCGCTCCAAATCATTGAAAATACGTACCTTTTTCAACTGTATTTTAATAATCAAACAATAAATACACACCAGGACAATAAATAACTATGCAATAACAGTAATTTTGTTGTATTATATTATTACTAATATTGTATTCCTACAAATATTACAATGATATTGTCACACTTATGTTCAGTTTGTTTAGTTTTCATGGACTTTTAGTTTGTATTCTCTAATCACATGTGTTCCTTTGCTTGATTTTCCCACCATTCATCTGTGACAACTCTAACTCTATCATCACAACTGTTCATTTTTTGGTTAATCACCATGTGTATTTAAGTTCCCTTTGTTCGATCTACGTTACATTTAGTGTGTGTTGCCCTGCCTGTCTGAGTGTTATTTGTATTACCCTCATTAAACTTCATATTGGAACTTTATTCTTACTTTTCGTCTGCCCTCCTACAACTTCCTGTGACAGATATATCATTAGGCTAAAAATATAGTTAAGTGGATTGCAGGAAAATGTGCTTAATTTTCATGAAAAAATACAAAATCATAATGATCCTAAAATGAATGTAAATTAATTAATTTGCTTATATTTTCATCAAACAAAATCACATTTCTAATTCCTTTCCTTTGATTTCTGACCTGGACATTGGCAGGTTCATAACAGGTTTGGATGAGTTTAGAGTGCTAATGTTGAACATCTCTCTGCCTCTAGAGTCGTATCAGTTCTCAGTGCTGGAATCTCTGCCGGTCTCATCAGTGGTGGCCAAACTGAAAGCCGCAGATGCTGATATCGGCTTCAATGCGGAGATGGACTACCGCATAATAGATGGAGATGCACCCGGTGTGTTCAACGTCACCACAGACGAGGAGACTCAGGAGGGAGTCATCTTTCTGCAGAGGGTGAGATCATACGGGCCTTCATAGGGAAAGACTGGCCATTTGGAGTAAACATTAAATTAGATTGTTGTTCTTTGTTAATATGTCTGTAGTCAACTAATTATGGTGGTATGCAGGGTTCCTCACTTCTGGGTCTGGAGAAACAAATAAAAACGTACATTTACATTTAATAATTTAGCAGACGCTTTTATCCAAAGCGACATGCAAATGAGGAGAACAATAGAAGCAATCAGACCAACAAGAGGGCAACAGTATACAAGTGCTGTAACAAGTCTCAGTTAGTCTAGCACAGTACACATAGCAAGGTTTTTTTGTTTTGTTTTTATAAAAAACAAAACAAATAGAATAGTATGGAATAGAATAGAAAAGCTAAGTGCTAGTATTAATTGGTCAGGTGCTGACGAAAAATATGTGTCTTTAGACATTTTTTGAAAATGAAATTTGACTGAACTACCTTCCTGCCGAGTTCAGCTCCAACCCTCAACAAACACACCTGAATCCGCTGACCAAAGCGTTCAGGATTACTTGAAAACCACAGCCAGGTGTGTTGGAGCAGGTTGGCACTGAAGTCTGCAGGAAAGTCCCTTTCACACCCCTGTTCTAGAGCAATCTAGGAGCCAGTGTTATGGTGTTGTCCCGCTCTGACTGCATTTTGATTGGATCTTGGTGGGCTAACACAAACAAATGTCCAGCGCCGTCAAATAAGGCTACGAGGACAACTGCCAGATGAAGCTTGATCCTTTACGTGCCACGCAACAGCAGTGACTGGACTCCAAATGGGTTTTGGAGGTTTGGTGGTTTGGGAAGTGATTAATGCATAGATAGATAAAGACTCTGTGTGTGCTTTAGATTATGCAAATTAGTTCCACGGGGGAAAGAAGGGTGGGCTACACCTCTGATGCCAACAGCCAATCATTGCACATCATAAAGATTGCCAAATTGCAATCTCTTCTTTAGAAAAGGGATACAGTACCCTTGACCAAGTTCCGTGTCTCTGGCCCAGTTAGGCAGAAAACATTACAGACACATTTGCAACCAGGTTGTTCTAGATTGTTAACCCTCTGGGGACCAGGGTGTTTTTGGGGCCCTTGGGATGTTTTGACATGCACTGACATTTGTGGTTTTTTCAGTTATTTATAAACATGTTAATGGCAAAAGTGTAAATTCACTCTATAAAGCACAAACGGGGCTACCATGATATGTGAGCAACATGTATGTACATGTTTCAGTGTTTCCCCTAGGATTTTTTTTCAGGGGGGGGGGGGGGGGGGGGGGTGGACTGCTAGTGTTGCGGAGCGGGCGTGTTACGGATACGTGGTGTAAATTTTTTAGCAATCAAAAAGCATGTCTAATTAATTGAAATAGTGTATTATGAATCATTAAACGTATACAACATTTAAAAAAAAAAAAATTAAAAAAAATGTCACACTAATTCTGTGTTGTGTTTTTTCTGGTAATAAAATGAAGACATAAAACACAAATTTTATCATTTATCATCAATTTTAATCATAAACTTTTTAACAAATAACGTGCTGCACAATGAGCTTTACTGTTAAAATTAAAACATGGATTATTCCTTAAATTCAGTTTTGATGATAATTTATTTGGATTAGTGTTAGTATTATTACATTGGGACATATCTAAATTCTACTCTACAACGGTAATATATTTCTGTCAGGTTAAACCGAACTTTTATTTTGACGGGTTGCCGTGAAGACCTTTTGAGTTTGTGTGTTTATGTCATAATGATAGTTTTTCTCAAATGAAGCGGTTAAATGATCACGAAGTGACTTTCGGAGTGGATCTAGAGCCTGGAGAGGAAGTTCATGCATTTGTGTCTTCATATAGGCAAAAAACAGCGCAAGCGTCACACGTGCTTCAGTGTGTGTGTGTGTGTGTGTGTGTGGGGTAAATGAAACTGCGCGTCGGCTGCACCATTCATTCACACAGAACAAGCAGGATTCGTATTTAAATTGTCTTTGTGGTTTAATATCCACACACACTTGTCTACATCGCGATTTGATTTCAAGTGTATACTGAACTGCTTTCTATTTATTCCTCAAAAGATTGACAAATTCCATGAAATTCCGCGTTATACAGTAAATTTATTTTTTATGACTGGATTTCAAAACAATGGTAGGGGAAACGATACTCGGTTACTAACGTAACCTCGGTTCTCTCTAGAGAGGGAACGAGTATTGCGTAAGTTTAGCTTACGCTACGGGAAAGATTCATCTTCTTGAGATATTGAAGCCAAAAAATTATCCTTAATTTTGTATTCATTGTCAACGCAGTGCAGCAGCTAGCAGACCTAGAGCAGGCCATCTCGCGTGCTCATTGGCTGCCCTGCTGGCATCTGCTGCAGCCTACCAGTGAGCCCCGCGTGACGTCACGCCCAATGAAGGGCGCTCGCGCCTTCATAGCGTCACAGCCCGCCAGAATGGGCGTGGCTTAGCGTATAAAAGAAGGGGCTGTAGGCTGACTTCCCTGGTTTTTCGACAACTGAAGCGAAGTCGCTCGTGGCGCGAGCACGGCCGGTTACGCAATACTCGTTCCCTCTCTAGAGAGAACCGAGGTTACGTTAGTAACCGAGTATCGTTCTCTTACGAGAGGTTCTCTCGTATTGCGTAAGTTTAGCTTACGCTACGGGAACACTTTGTCAACGCCGTGCGCGCCAAGCGTGCGCGCCTCTCCACCATGAGACCCCGAACTTTCAGGGGAACCCTGTAAGGTGGAGAATAAGGTGGCCAGCCACGCGGGCCATCACTTGTACATACGCACACATAGGGAATACAGAGCAGCGCGCCGGTCTGTATAGGCACATGGCACATACCCTACTTAGTGCAGCTCAACTAGGAGAGCTGAGTCATGTGAGAGTGATCTGAGCAGGAGGTCTGGGCAGAATACACCTCTCTTTTAACTGACAACAGTTTAGCCTGCAAGGCAGGAACTTCTAGGTTATAAAACCTGACAGAGGTAGACGGGGAGCTCCAGCCCGCCGCTACACATATGTCATGGATAGAAATTCCACTGGACCATGCCCACGAAGAGGCCACGCCTCTCGTGGAATGAGCCCTGATGCCCAGAGGGCATTGCAGACCTTTTGACGCGTAAGCGGCTGCTATAGCGCCCACTATCCATCTGGACAGGCTCTGTTTCGAGGAGGCGAGACCCTTGGTGCGCCCACCGAACGAAACAAACAGCTGTTCCGAACGCCTGAATAAGGCGGACCGCGTAATGTAAAACCTCAGCACTCTGACAGGGCAGAGGAGGTTCACATCACTTTCGCTGTCAGATGCTGGCAGAGCTGACAACGAGATAACTTGCGCTCTGAACGGAGTGCCCATCACTTTAGGAACGTAGCCATGTCTAGGTCTGAGGATGACTTTAGAGTCATACGGCCCGAACTCAAGACACGATGCGCTGACAGACAGCGCATGCAGGTCCCCCACACGTTTTACTGACGACAGTGCAGTCAGAAAGATGGTTTTCAGTGATAGATATTTCAACCCCACGGAGTTTAGTGGTTCGAAGGGAAAAAGCTTTCAGGGCCTCTAGGACCAGTGAAAGATCCCACATGGGAACCGACGGGGGGCGCGGCGGGTTCATCCTCCTAGCTCCTCTAAGGAAGCGGATGACCAACTCATGTCTTCCTAATGACTGGCCGTGCGTCGATTCTGCGAACGCTGCCACGGCCGCCACGTATACTTTGAGTGTGGATGGGGACCTTCCCTTATCCAACAGCTCTTGTAGGAAGGAGAGCAGATGCGCCACCCCGCATGTCCGCGGGTCCAGACCTCTGTCGGTGCACCATCCAGAGAACACCGACCATTTAGACGCGTAGAGCCTTCTCGTGGAAGGGGCTCTAGACTGCGCGATCGTGTTCATTACTCCTTCTGGCAGGGCAACGAGTACCCGTTGATCAACCATGCGTGCAGAGACCAGCGCTCTGGATGGGGATGCCAGATCGTGCCGCGAGCCTGAGAGAGGAGATCTGCCCTCACCGGAATCGGCCACGGAGCTGTATGTGACAGCCGTGCTAGCTCCGGGAACCAAATCTGATTCTCCCAACGCGGGGCTATAAGGAGCACCGAGTGGCGCGTTTCCCTGATTCTCTTGATCACCTGTGGTAACAGAGAGACCGGAGGGAAAGCATATAGCCGGAGGCTGGGCCAACCTGGGCCAGCGCGTCCTCGTCCTTCGAGAAGAACGTCGGGCATTGAGCGTTGTCTTTTGACGCAAATAGGTCGACTTCCGCCCTGCCGAATAGGCGCCACAGTTTCTGGACCGTTTGGGGGCCCAGGGACCATTCCCCTGGGGGAACGTTGTCCCTGGACAGTTTGTCTGGGCCGTCGTTCAAATGGCTAGGCACATGCGCCGCCCTCAGCGAGCGCAGGTGCATCTGAGACCAAATAAGGAGGCGTTCTGTCAGATTGCAGAGATTTCTGGATCTGACACCGCCCTGACGGTTTACATAGGATACCACAGACATGTTGTCCGAGCGGACAATAACATGTTGGTCCTGTATGAACGGGAGGAAGCGCTTCAGCGCATTCTCGACCGCTATCATCTCCAGACAGTTTATGTGAAAACACCTCTCTTGGTCTGACCACTGGCCGAAGACCGGTCTGCCCTCGAACAGCGCGCCCCAACCCCAGTTGGACGCGTCTGTCGAAATGACTTTCCGATAAGAGATGGTTCCCATCATCACTCCCAGCTGGTACCAGTCGGCCACTAACCAGGGCTGCAGAGCCGCTATGCAGGTCTTAGTCACTCTGATTTTCTGACCGCCAGAAACCCAAGCTCGGCGGGACGGGCGAGCATTCAACCAGCGTTGGAGCGGGCGCATGTGCAGTAGGCCCAGCTGGAGCACCGCTGCAGCTGATGCCATACAGCCCAGCATCCTTTAAAATGTTTTCAAAGGGAGAAAGCTGTCCTTCTGGAAAGACGCGGCTAGGTGGCGAACACGGAGCGCGCGCTGTGCCGATAGACGAGCCGACATG